TTTGACAGATCTCACTCTGTCACCCAGGCTGGAATACAGTGGCACCATCTTGGCTCACTGCAGCCTTGACCTTCTAGGCTCAAGCAGTCTTTCTGTCTCAGCCTCCCAAGCAGCTGGGACTACAGGTGCATGCTGCCATGCCCAGCTAATTATTTTTTTGGTATGTTTTTGTAGAGATAGGGTCTCACTATATTGCCCAAGCTGGTCTGGAACTTCTGGCCTCAAGCAGTCCTCCTGCCTTGGCCTCCCAAAGTGCTGGGATTATAGGAGTGAGTAATAGTAATTGTGAAATAGTCAACAACCAGAAGGAAAGAAAGTATCTGTTTTCAAGTGATGTATTTCCCTAGCATGCCATGACTTTTCTTTTTAACAAATAGGTGTTCGGTATTTTCTCAGCCATGACTTTTTTAAAAAACAAAACAAAACAAACCTCTTTATGGAAGTCACTTTCCTCTGCCCAAGACAGTTTTTCAGGGAGTAGTTACTGCTTTGTTCTGAATTTTGTTCTGAACTAACTTGAAGAACTGTCTATGATAAAGACTTCTGCTTTGGGTTGCTTGCCTAATTTCTTCCAATTGAAGCAACAGGCTTAGCCACACTTATGCTATTAAAAATAAGGTCCAGGTGTGGTGGCTCATGCCTGTAATCCCAGCACTTTGGGAGGCTGAGGCAGGCAGACCAGAGGTCAGGAGTTCGAGACCAGCCTGACCAACATGGTGAAACCCCATCTCTACTAAAAATACAAAAATAAGCTGGGCATGGTGGCGCGCACCTGTAATCCCAACTACTGGGGAGAATTGCTTGAACTTGAGAGGTGGAGGCAACAGAGCAAGATTCCATCTCTAAATAATAAATAAATAAATAAATAAATAAATAACTTAAATATTTCGTAGTAAGACATGGAATGTAAAATGTTCTTGTACCTTCCTCCCACCCTACTCTTGGCAATGTGATTCCTCTGAGAAGCCTGACATAAAGGTAACACCTTAGCTGCCTTCATGATGGCAGTGGTATGTGACATTCCACACCCCCTGTGAAGATCACAGGCGCTCCTGATCCCATGGCGTTTCCTGGCCCATGTTCCCAATGTAGGTAGGTGGTGGTGTTCAGTGCTT